CTGTGCTAAGTGTTCTAAGTGCTGTGTTTCAGTCCCTTCTCACATCAACGCTGTAAGGGAGGTCTATCCTTTATCCCACCTTACAGATGGGGATATTGAGGCATGAAGAGGTTAATTACTTCTCCAAGGTCACCATACTAGTATGTAGTAGAGCTGTGATCCAAACCCCAGGGCCATTATTTTGATTGTGAATTTTTTCTAAAGTAGTTATTTTTTACTTTGTAATTCATTCTTGTTCAACTACACATATACCTCCATTACATAAGTCATATGTAGCATAAGACAATATATTTCTTATTGCTGAGTATAAGGACACTAACATCACTACACTGCCTCCCTGGATTTTCTTCTCATCTCTTCTACACAGCCATAATTTGTAATATTTATATATTCTGTAAATCCTGAAGTTGTATTAGCTTTGTTTTTACACTGAGTAGATACTAGAGACTAGGCTCAAGACCTGTCATTCTTGATTGGCCGAATGTCTTCAAGAAGGATTAATGGAAAATGCAGTCTCTGAGTTCTTGTTTCTTCAATGGTAACCGAAACTAGTTTGACACGTTCTTTCTCTGAGGACTTTGTAAGCCCTGTGTCCTTGTATCCTGGACTTGAGTCCTGACAAAGTTTCAGTTCTCAACGATGGCTTCCCTTAGAACTGACTGGAGGCCCTGGGTTCCTCCCGGAGCTACACTTGTTTGAGTATTGCTTGGGAAAAAAAGAAAAAGAACTGACTTGATCATTTTTTTCTGGATGTGCATGGGATGCTTTCTTTAGCTCTGAATTCCAGCAACTTTAGTAAGAAATGCCTCAGCGTTGATTGTTCTATGATCATTTACTGCAACAGCTGTACCCTTTAAATCCATATATTTAGGTCGTCTTTTTCTGCAATTTTTAAAAATTATATCTCTTGGATTTTTTTTTTCAGTTTTACACATACCTAAATGTGCATTTTTATAGATACGGTCCTCATTCTTTTTGATCATTCCTCATCTGTGAAGTCACTTTCAGAGGATCAGGTATTTGTCAGGCAGGAGAGAAAGGAAGTTTTTTCTAAGACAGGTGTGTGTGGGTGTATCAGTGCTGCTTCAGTCCAAGTGTTCACAATGGTGCATGAACATTTAGAACACACGCCGAGCTTCTAAAAACCATCTATGCCTTGGATCATCCCAAGGTTTTCATTTAACTGGGCTGAGAGTGGTGCTTGAGAAGTGTTATGTTTTAAAAGCGTCCCCATGTCATCTTAAGGGATAGCCAGATTGGGCCCTTGTCTTCATCGACAGGGAGCAGCAGCATCGGGCCCCTCCCCCAGACTGAGGATCTCATCTTCTTTATTTCTCTACTAAATGCTTGCAGGAACGAGAGCCTCCACTTTGAGATGTCACATGGAGTCCCAGAAAGTTCCCATGGTCAGCCACACACTGATGTCCTGACTCAAACAGAGAACTACTCTGCTCCTCTGGGAATATTCTTTATTTGAGAATGTCAGCATTCTGCTGGCTCTGCCTGAGATCCTCAGTTGCCAGAATCCTTTCAGGAAGTAATCTGTTAGACACCTGGTCTTCTGATGTGTGGTTTATTAGTGCCAGGTTTTCAGAGTCCTTAAATATGGAAACTGCATTTCTATTTCTCAGTCTTCTTGATATTTGATGACTTTAGAGATGCAAGGGTGTCTTTACAATTTTACAGTTGAAGCTCTTTATAAATTTTCTACTTTAATGACTGGCTTTTCATGTATTTTAAAAAGTGAGTTTTTCAACATCATCAATTTTAACGAGACATAAAGCTACTTATAAATGAAATGTTATAAATGAGTTGAAATTCAATGTATTATATGACAATTTGATTAGTAAGAAGAGGAAATGTGCTCCTTTTTAATTAATCATGCTTACTTACATATAAAGTACATTGACCAAATTTATATGCACAATAAATCACCTAATTGTTTTAAATTCAATTGCAGGCAAAAAGAGATGATCATGTGTGCCTAGTAAAATAATTTCTTTTCCTCATTTTGGAGGAAAATTTTATTTTGTTTCCGTAAAACCTTTGAGATGATCTAAAATATCACAATTTGTGTATCTACAAAGATGCATAATATCAGAAAGTTAGTTAGCAATTTCAGTCAAAGGTATAGCGACCATTTTAAACTTTTTGGGTTACAGTACAAAGTCAACATTTCATTATGTAACCATTAGTCATACAGTGGTGTTGAACTCAAGCATCATTTGAGAAAAAGAAGCAAACAGACCAAATTAAGCTTGTATAGAAAAGCAAGTCATGAGGAATAATGAATACTGCCAACAAAAGCAGACAAAACCAGGGGAAAGAACAACAAGAAAACAATTTAATTCTCTATTATGGCTCTATATCCTAACACAAACATGACTGGTTACCATCAAATTCAAAAGGACATATACTTTGTTCAGTCCATTAGTAAATATTTATAGAGCTCGGCCTTGTGCCAGGCCCTGAAGGCATGGAGATGAAAAGATGTACTTCCTGTTTTCAAGGAGCTTAAATCCTTGGGAGATAAATGTGCAAATAAACAGTAAGATTATTGCCTTAGTGGAGGCCTGCTGCCCCCGGGGCAGTTCTCTCCTAGAATCAGGCTTCTGAAGCCAATACGCTCTGTGAGAAAACTTGCCTTCTCAAAGAGAGTACTGCACAGTGGTTGAAGTCATTGTAAGTCACAGCGAAAAAAGCTGAATCAGCTTGACTATAATTCAGTATTCTGAGTTTAGGCACAATTGCTGCATTCAAAATGGCCAGGAAGTGATTTGATTTAGCAATATGATTCTATAGGAATAGAGATTTTTGTGCAAGGAGAGTCTAACTACTGAATGCTGGCCACCCTCCATCAAGACACGGGCACACCCAGTTAGCCCTTTAAAGAGTTAGAGGCTCTGATGAGCCCATTCTAGCTGTGCCCAAGGGGTCAGGATTCCTGGAACTCGGTCCACACGGCTTACCCAAAACATACATCCCATCTCCCAAACCACGCCTGTGATTTCCTGCTCATCCCTGAAAGTCATCAGCATAATCTGTAAAAGTCCTTATATCCAGGGGAAGGATATAAGATTGATTCCAAAGCCAGATAAGTTGAAGAGAGTACAGCAAATCGAAATGCCTTCACATCTGCTGGCTTCTAAATTTGGTGACGTAGGAAAGTGTACCATTGGCCAAAGGGGTGAACGATTACCCATCTAAACACAATGCTGGAAATACGCTCTGAGGGCATATTAAAAACATAAGAATACAAATTTAGGAACGTTATTTGCAAAACTCACTGTTTTAAAACTACCAACTATTTGTGGCTTTCAGCCCAAGTTCACTATTATACTCTATCTAAAAGCTTTAGCCTTGTGGTTTTTTAGTTCAGACAGCAGAAGAGTATTCCTCAATCAGTGCAAGATCTTCACATATTCTCTCTGAAATTCCAGCACCCAGCCCAGAGTTCATTATGCCATCCCGCATAACACCATCTGTGGGCTGCTGTGATGGAACACCAGGGTGAGAGGAAGATTTATCAGCTACTTTTCCTGATGTATAAAGACTGATTGGCTGTGTCTATAGCAGTGGCAATCCAGGGTTGACAGGAGCTCACGCTCTCTTGCCTGGCCATGACACCCCGCATTGTACAGCTGCTCGCGGAGTTATGAAACCGCATGAAAAGTCAGGAAGTAGATTTGGCTTCCAAAGAAGCACAACCACCACACTGTTAAACACTGAGATTCTCTTAGGTCCTGGGTAAAAGTGTCTAGAACTCTCTTAAATGCACCTGGGCCTTGAAACTTGAAGGGAAAATTGTTGTTGTTGTTGTTGTTGTTGTTTCCAAATGATTCTGATAACAATTCCCTTAGGGACTGAACATTTGTGTTGCTTCCACCCCAAATTCATATGCTGAAGTCCTAACCCCCACTGCGATGGGATGGTGTTAGGAGATGGGGCCTTTGGAAAGTTAATTCAATTTAGATGAGATCATGAGGGTGGGGCTCTCCTGATGGGATTTTTTCCCTTACAAGAAGATGTCAGAGAGCTTTCTCCCTCTCCCTCTTCTTCCTTTCTTCCTACTCACTGTCTCTTTCTCTCTCTCTTTCCCTATCCTCACCACCAAATAAGAATACAGCGAGAAGACACCCATGTGTGAACCAAAGAAAGGGGCTTCACCAGAACCGACCATGCTGGCACCCTGACCTTGGACTTCCAGGCCCCAGACTAGAGGGAAATGGAGAAATGAAGTGATGTTATTTATGCTACCCAGTCTATGGTATTTTGTCATGGCAGCCTGAGCTAAGACAAGTTCTCAAAGCATAAAATAATTGTTTAGAATGCTTAGGTTTTTGTTTGTCTCAATAATGAAACATGCACCCCTTGCATGAAATGGTAATAAATGCAATGATATAAACTAAATGGCAGATGTTAAGTAATTTCATTACTGTATACAATGGCACATTTCAGGACTTAATAGCACAAGCCACAGATAAATGTATACATTTGAGCATATCATCATTTCCCATATGTCTATTATATAGTTGATGCATATTCATTAAGTATTTCATTAGCTATCTTCCATTCCAGGGTTACTTTCCAGTTTTCATGCACTCATCAATGACTACTACTTCAGTTATTTAAGACTTACCTTGCCTACTGGTTCACAGTTACAAGTGGAACAAAACCCAACCCTGCTTATCTTTCAGTCAACAAGCCCTGAACCTTGCTCAACAAACAGTTTTAAGTGCTGTAATTAGGAATCAAAATACTCTAAAATAAGGGATACTGAACCCTCTACAGACACTGATGAATATCCATATAAGCAGACTGTCTTTACAGACTGTAAGGCAGACTGTATCACAACCCAAGAAGAGCATTAAAATCTGTAGTTGTGTTTCTTAAATGCTATAGCCAGTCTCAACAGCAAACATCAGTTAAACAAGTATTCTCTCCATTTCATAAACATTTTAAAACAGAAACTGAAAATGTGTTTTAGTGGTAAGACAGACCTATCTCATTAAAGCCACTGTAGCCCAGCTCTTGCCTGCTAAGTCCCAGGTCTTCGAGGTCCATGCATTTAAATCCCGGGGGGCACTGGTAGCCTTCCTCCAGCTCTGGTGAGCAATGTGTATCTGGGATAGCTAAGCTATTCCAGGTTACATTTCTGTGAACAAATTATGAAAAGGTTAGCCAATTTGGACAACTGTAAATGTTGATTAAAACGAATAATGTAATCACCCTTCACTATTAGCTGTTGTATAGGGACCCAGATGTAAGATTCATGATTCATGAAGGGTGTTCATAGCATTAATGACATAGTGAGACATTCTCAAATGATCCCTGATTTGTCCTCACAATAGCTCTATATAAGAATACTATTACTATTATTGTTTTGGTCATTAAGGACCAAGACCCAGATAAGCAAAGGAAAGAAATCTGCTGTGAATTTTCAAGGAATGTTAACCTGCTTGGGGCTTCCTTGTTGTTCACCAAATACTTACCCTACTGTGGGCACAAATTTTACTTGCCTACTTCTAACCAAAGAGTAAATGATGACGATCATAGGATATCATCCTATGAGTCGCATAAATGACAGTCTTCTTCTGTGTTGGCAGATGTGCAGTTGAGAAAGGAATCCAGACAAATAACGTGGGATTGAAGGAACCAATGGAATGGTGTTGGAAAGAGAGAGATTATAGGGTGATTTGATGATAGCTCCAGGAACATGAAGGTCTTTTAGGTGGATGGTAATACATCCCTGTTTCATTGTTCTGGAGGGCAAGGTGGAGATTAAATTGATGTATGAGGATTTAGATAAGTAATAGCTTTCTTGGGAGCAAGTATGGGTCATTGCTGGAATGGTGATTGTGGAATCTCATTCTGGGCTGACCTTTAAAATGGGCCCTGAATAGCTGCTCTCTGAGACAATTCACATGGCTTGTGCCCTGGCCAAAGTTTAGGCTAGACGATTTCACAAGCCTTTTAAATCCATGATTTTATTACAAGTCATTTCCCACTACCTCGATGTTTGTAAGCATTTCCTAAGTGGAGATGGACCTCAGGACAGTCTTAGCCCTCAGCTTACAGCCAAATTGAGGTAGATGTTTTGGGTCATATTTCTTCTTTAATACCTTCTTATATTCAATTGGCTGCTTCCTTCCCTGTGTATAATGCGTTTTCTCTAGAGTCTGACACTCAACGCTCTGCAATCCCTTCCCTGCTTGAGGCCACCGTGCACACACACAATTCACAGGTTTGCACATACATACCTGAGGCCTGCTGACACCTCACCAGCTCTGTTCAGTTGTAAACAAAGCTCTAAAATCCTCACCTGCATTTCAGACACCCCAAGTGCATTCCTTCAGGATTCTATTAGCTGCCAGGAGATAATCTGTCCACTGTCAGGGAATAAGTGTTGAAATAATTGTGCCCTCTGGTATATGGTATGGGCTCCTTTGGACCCCACACAGAAAACCCAAGGGAAAGTTCTCATTGTGGAAATTACTACTTGGTTATGTCTGAGAGATATGATTTTGGGTAGACATATCACTTACTTCACCCTATTTCATATTTTTATATGTAGACCAAATATTCATCTTTGCTTAAGTCTGACCTGACTATGTTTCTGATGTGGAAACCACACATTAGAGCTAAGTGTTAAGGGGACTTAAGTTCCAGAGTAGGTTTTCTGGGTTTGATCCCAAGGTCTCCCAATTATTAGTTGTGTGACTTGAATAAAGTTCTAAATGTTTCTAAGCTCAGTTTGTTCATCTGTCAGCTAGGGAGAGTAGCCATAATTAAAAGCAAAGCCTGTGTGAAGGTTAAGTAAAGTAAACCAAGGAATGCACTCAACTTAGCACCTAGCATGTCACAATAAATAAATGCTCAACAATAATAATAATGCTCAATAAATGCTTATTATAAATATTTAGTAATCATTACAATAATAAAATGTAGCAAACAAAACATACGTAAAAACATAATAAAGATTTGTCAAAAGAGGGGCGTCTGGGTGGCTCAGTTGGCTAAGTGTCCGACTTCGGCTCAGGTCATGATCTCGCGGTTCGTGAGTTCGTGCCCCGCGTCGGGCTCTGTGCTGACAGCTCAGAGCCTGGAGCCTGTTTCAGATTCTGTGTCTCCCTCTCTCTCTCTGACCCTCCCCCGTTCATGCTCTGTCTCTCTCTGTCTCAAAAGTAAATAAACGTTAAAAGACTTGTCAAAAGAACAGAAGGAATTCAGGCACGTGATACTGACAGCACTGGGCAGCTGAAAGAAACTGCATAGATCATCTAATTCCTAACTTAAGGAAGGTTAAGGTGAAGTTCAGAGAGGGAAGCCCATCGAAATTAATAATTTACCTATCTGTGCCTCAGTTTCTTCCTCAGGAGATGGCAGGGAGATGCCTATCTCACAGGGCTGTGGCAAAAATGTAATGACTTAGTCTGTAAGGTACTTAAAACAGGTACTTAGTAGACAGTAAGTGTTAGTTGTTCTCGATTGCTATTGATAGCCTGATTGGATTGGACAAGATTAGACTGGAACCCTAGTCTTGTTGTGTGCTGCCTCAGTTTCCATATTTGTAAAATGGGGATAGCGTTCACACCAACTGGTGGGAGCGTCTTCTGTTTCAATGAGCTAATATTCAACTCCCAGAATAGCACTGGGAATCAGTTACTCACCCAATAACTGTTAACTATTACTGATTTATAAGTATTAGAGCAGTTTTCTCCTTTTGTATTCCATTTATTTTTTTCTTTCATATTAACACTGATTCTCATTTCAAGCACAACCCTCACCAGCCCAGATATTATGTTGAAATCTTTTGGCTTCAGAGGCAGCAGATTTGAAACACATTATTTTTGCCAACATGAAGCTATTAGCAAATGCTTGTTAGAGACACATTTATTAGATGATTAATTGCCCTGGAACTCATGTATCTAAAACCACATGATAATTACTCTTTTTAAAAGTGGAAATAAACATTGGGAGTTTCAGAATGTATAGTTGTTTCATTGTCACCGTTAGCAAGAATCTTCTAAGTTTTATTTTTATTTGTTAACTTTAATTATTTCCTTGTTCATTTTCCATCAGATATTCACGATACAAAAAGAGGCTTTCTGGAATTAGGGAGGGTAGAATTCTTGCTACAACCAGCCAAACTCTAAATATAGACAATGAGTCTTCCAGTCCTAATAAATATTCACTCATGCTTAAGTGGGTTTCAAGACCTGCATTTCTTATTCACAGTTGGATTTCTTGAAAAAAAATTATCAATTTCTAAGCCCCCTAATTTAATTTTTTAGCCTATTTTGCATGATCCCGAATCCACTAGACTTGCTCTTGTTTATTTCCATGTGTCACATCCAGCTGGACCATTTTCAGTTTCTCTCTCCTGCGGCTTCTGATAGCACTGCACATACTTGTTTTGATGGTGGGCAGAACAACGTCCCCCTCAAGGTGTGCACATTCTTACGTCCGGAACACGTGAATATGTTGGGTTACATGGCAAATGGAATTAAGGTTACAGATGTGAACAAGGCTAAAAAGCTTGAATTTGGTTGATTATCCTGGATTATCTGGGTGAGCCTGACCTAATCACATGAGTCCTTAAAAAGAGAAAAACTTTCCCAGTTGTGGTTAGTGGGGGGGAGGGGGGGGCAGAGAGAGAGAGAGAGAGAGAGAGATGCAACAGTTGCTGACTTGGACGATGCTAGTTTTTTCCCTGTCTCTCAGGTCATTCTCCTTCTGGAACTGGCCCTCAGTTCTGAGTTGCTCTGAGCTCGGTCTTTGGCCTCCTCTCTTTTTTTATCATAGTCTCTCCCTGTGCAGACAAATCCATTCTCATAGTTGCAATTCTCTTATCCTAGGTGTCTTTTAGACTCTCAGAGTTACATGTCCAACTACCTATTAGATGTCTCCACCTGGCTACACCCCAAGTGCCTCTAACTCTACTCCCCTTACTGAGCCCAGACTCCTTTGCCAACATTCCTTCATGACAAGCAGCACCATGAGACCTTCATCCACAGTGCTGAGCAAGCTTGAGAGTGCGCAATCTCCTTCATATCTACTTTTCCTTTAACTCCCATAACTAATCATCATGTGGCCCTAAATATCTGCCAAAATATCTTTTGAGCTCATTCAACTCTCACCATCTTCACCTCAACCTGCACCACCATCTAGTCCCCGAACTGGTCATCCTGCAGCACTCTTAACCCTTCCAATCCATTAGCCACAGAACATACAGACAGGCTTTTCATAATCTTGGTCTTACCTGAAGCGTGTCCATGGCAAATCTCATCTGGAAGATCCAAAGGATCTGGCTTCTCCCCTTTCAAATGGCCCAGTACCCAACATGGTGGTCTTATCTCAGCTCTTGGTGTGCTCCTACTTTAGGACTTTTTCCTCTGCTTGGAAACCTCTCCTCCCATCTCTGCTTGGTTAACCCATTTTTCACTTTTTAGGCCCCAGCCTGAATGTCACTTTCTCAGGGGAGCCTCTTCAAGTCCCTCAGGCTGGGTTAGGCTTCTCTGCTATGATTTCTCAAAGTACCCACACTTTTCATTTCTGGCACTTGGGAAGTGTGTAATTCATGTTTGAGTGGTCAGCTGTTCGTTGGGTGTCTCCCAACCTTGACTGTTCCCCAGTATAACCTCCAAGCCCACACAGTTCCTGACATGTAGTCTGATGGTTAAATTTATGAGTGAATTTGGCTACACTATGGTGCCCAGTTGTTTGGTCAAACACCGTCTAGAGGTTGCTGTGAAGGTATTTTTTAAGATGCAATTAACATTTAAATCAGTAGACTCTGAGTAGAGCAGATTATCCAACATAATATGGGTGGGCCTCATCTAATCAGTTAAAGGCCTTAAGGAAAAATACTGAGATCCTCTGAAAAGAATTCAGCCTCCAAACTACTTTTGGACTCAAGACCGCAACAACAGCTCATTCTGAAATTTCCAGCTTGCTGGCTTGCTCTGAAATGTGGGTCTTGCTAGTCGCCATAATCACATATGCCAATTCTTTAAAATAAATCTCATTGCTTCCTATATAAACATCCTATTGGTTCTATTTCTCTGAAGAATCTTAACTAATGCATAGTAAATGTGTAATAATTATTTTTTTATTAAGTGAGGAAATGTGTCTCTCTACAATTATTTAAATTTA